CTGCTATGAAGTCATTACTCTCTAAATTTGAATCAGTGAACTGATTATCCAGTGGCATACTTGGACAATGCCTTGCAACAAGCGACACAGTGATCATGTCATCTTTATTTAACATTGGCAAACAACAAGGATATAATGATCATTGTGTCATACTGTGTCATTTGTTGGAAGGCATACTTATTGTCCAAGTATACCACTGAGTAATTAGTGACTATCTACTGATTCAAATTTAGAGAGTAATGATTTCACAGCAGTAATTTTAAAAGTTATTTACGACTAATTGAAGTTCAACTAAAAAAGGAAGAATGAGCATTATATAATTAAAATACTGATATTTGCATGTTAATTTCAATCTTTTAATACTATATTCATTGAATTTATGCACTAAAACAAAATTAGTTAGATCATATAATAAAGATTAGCTTAGGTTAGAGATTTCATATTTCATTCACTGATTATCAGTTGGCATTGATATCAGTGTAATTATTCACTGATTCAGATTTAAATAGTAATTTAATGATTAATCATAGGTAGAAAAGCACATTTTTTTTTTTATATTATCATCAAGTTAAATAAGATTGAGTCTAAACCATAAGTTAACCAGGTAATGAAAATTCACGATCAAGGCCCAGTTTTTCACAATTCACGATTAACTCTAAACCGAAGTTTAATTTATTCATTATCTCTTTCGAATTCTAGAATTGTAAGAAGATGAGAAACAAGTTGAACCTCGATTAAGAGTTAACCATGAGTTGTGAAACTGGGTTTAAGTGGGCTTAAGTATGATGGTTAAAACACCTCAGATACAGTTTTCTTTAAAATCTTATTTGAAAAAGGAAAATAAAAATCACTTATTCATTTAAATTTTCACAGCCATAAACATTATTCTCTAATATTACTCACAAACGTGGCGCGTTGTCCCTAAAAATAGCAGAAATATTTTATCTTGCGCACTGAAGAGCATTAAACAACATTCGACTCGTGCGCGGACAGAAATATTTTACGATGTTTAATAGTATTTACAGTTAGCGTTTTTGGGATCCCGCATAACATTAAAATCGTATTTCATGCGACCAGCGTAGCAGCGGTAAAATTCATACGCGGGAAAGGAGGGGGAGAGGAGAGGAAAAGAAAGAAAATCAACAACACGATGCGATCATAAATCCCGCGAACGCATTGCTCGCGAGCACGAATTAAACCGCTGCGTTTTGACGCATAAAGTTCTGCTCATCGATGAGCCATTAATTAGCTTCCGCGGCACGAACGCCGCGGCAGGCATCAAACAGGATGAATACCGAATTCCGACGAGCTTTCGTAAACTGGCGTAATACATATGCTATTCCCCGATTATGATACGCCCTAGGATTCATAGCGCGATTACGTGGTCGAATTTATCGCGTTAATCATGAATTCGCTCGTGCGTTGCATGTAACTATGAGAGGGACGACCAATTGTTTTGATGCCTATCAATGAAAATCTATGATATGACAAACGGGATAGATCTTTTGTTATGCTCTTTGATTTACAAAACTCGTTGAGATAGCAAAAATATCTTGTTCAAATATGTGGAAATGATTCTCACGTTTGTGAAAAATATATAATATATTGATGCTCGCTAGTTTAAATCGTAAATATATCTTTTATCCTTTCTAACCTTTTACTGATGACAATTCGTCGATTGATAATTAACTTAATCAAAGACTGAGTGATAATATTTATTCCGCATCTGTTGTCTCGAATAAAACTCGTTGAAAAAGACTTCTTGTTTTGTCTAATTACTGTGATATTCTGTTATTTAATTATCTCATATTCAAAGACTGCATCAAAAGATTTGCAGATTTTCTCTTCATAATCTTACAGAGTGCCAATTTCAAGAAACTTGGTGACTGAATAAATATAATATTCATTAGATAATACGGATGTCACATTTATGTGACAGGGACGTCGCATCAAAGGCTTAAATAAAATACACAATTTAATGGAGTTCGTAATAAAACGATTTTCATCATTAACGGTATCAAAATTTTAAAGAAGCTTTCATCTGTCGATCTGTCATCGAATATAAGAGCTCGCTTTCTATAAATGGGCATATAACTGTCGATATTTAAACTGTATTATACTCTGTAATATCACTCTAATCTGTAGCAGTGAAATTACTGCATTGAATTGAGATTTCACTCCGAGCGTTAGTGGCAACTGTGCCAATGAATTTTACTGCGAGGTGGGAGTGAAAACTCCACTCAATAATTGGAGTGAATTTATTAATGTTAAAAAGGAATAAATTTGAAGATTATAATAAACTGAATAATATCTCTAAGGGAAGAATGAATGATTTTTATTTAAATATGAAAAATTTATTTTCTGCCTAAAAAAAAAGGAGATATACAAAAGAGTTACAAACTTCTATATAAAAAGTTTCACACGTTAAAAAAAGTATATAAACTATATTCTATAATTCTATATATAATTCTACACAAAATTAGTCTAACAATCTCATTTTAACCATCCCAGCTTTATTTCACAGACATTGGAATTTCTGTTACGAGAAGAGACACTATCTGTTGAAACTCACTATATCAGTGACTACATCTCGCTTAACTTATTCACTTTGGCTAATCGAGTCTCGGTTGAAATAATCCACTCCTTACATAAGAGTAGTCCAATTAAATTCAAAGAAATAAAAATTCACTTTTAAAGTAATGATGATTTTGTTTTTTCAATTTACTTTTGTTTGGAATGAAATTTTTACTGTTGAAAGTAATTTAAAATGTATTGGCGCTAAATCATTGTAAAACAAAATAAAATGTACAGTAGAAAAAGATTTTCACCTTTATAAAAAATATATATATTGGATATTGATATTAACGCTAGCGAGTTAAAAATCGCGAATAATCAAATTGGTCATTCTTTCTAATTTTTATGATGACAATTCGTCGACCGGTTAACTTATTCAAAGACCAAATGATAAAATATTTTATTCTGCAATTCCGTAGCGTATTTATTAATTTATTAATTTTCGATATCTTCACGGATGTAACTCTTGTTGATAGCCAAGGTAGCTGCTCATGTAAGGTTACTTTTGTAGAAGTCAAACTCAAGATTCTCAAGACTTGACCCAGTCTGTTGGTCGATACGAAACTTCGTCCATTCACACGACAAGACGACGCAAAGTTTTCACGAGATACATATCTGTGGATGAAAGGACGTGTCGAAGTTTTGCAGCCGCCGATCGTTATTCGACTACGTTATTCAAGACATATTCACACGATCAAGCTGATCCGAGTCGCACAGTGGCTGGCTTGATCGAAATTAACACGCTTCGAAAGTTCAGAGTTAATTAATTTTCAGTTCGCAGCGACCAATCTTTGACGTTAAACCGCTATTATCGCTTCTCGATTAGGCGATGTGTGCGTTCGTATGGGACAAATTGAAAAGTTATCGAATGTTTGACATGGAGCCGAAAAATTCGACGTTTGTCGAAGTTGCCGTCGTGTCATTGTCGTTTAAGCACGATATATTTCAACAAAAATTTCGCAAAAATTATCCGCGTATTATATATCCGCGTAACCAATATTTCGCAAGAACATACAATAGAAGGAATCTTCTATGTTCAGACAAAGCGTATTTGGAACGCAAATTGTGCACCTGTATCGCGCAGAAGCAAGAAGTAGGAAGGTAAGGCATTAAAACAGCCATGTTTCTGCCAAGAAAAATAGCGCGGCGATGAACAACATCGATTAAACATTCTCCCGCATGAATTAAAGAGACTGTAAAAATTTGTTTACCTCCGGGACGGTCGACCTGCATTTTCAAATGATTTAAATTTCAAATTGTTCAAATGACCACAACTCCCGGAGGTTCCAGGCGGCACGGCGGTTGGTTTCTGTCATATCTCTCTCTCTCTCTCTCTCTCTCTCTCTCTCTCTCTCTCTCTCTCTCTCTCTCTCTCCCCCTCTCTCTCTCTCTCCCAGTCCCCATTTTCTTTTTCTCTTCTCACGGAGAGATCCGGACTCAAGAAGGAAATAACAGAAACAACACAGAACACTTCAATCATGCGAATTAATACGGAGAGAAAAGCGCGCGCACAATGCAATTAGAGGATAACAGAGCCATTAGCTTTGGGGTGCAACAAATCAACTCGAACTTCCTAAATTAAAACGCTTGAATATTTAAATATTGAAAAAAAAAATGGACTACCAAATCCGTCTTAATAGGCAAAATAAATTTGTATAAATTTAAAGTTTTTCACGAGCTTAACCACAGAAATAAATAATAAAAATGTTTAACATACAATGTGTTAATTTTAGATTCATTCTCGTTCTCTCTTCGATTTTGTCGAATTTTACGCTTATCATTCATATTCATTTGTTTTGCTTCCTTTCATTTATAATTTTGTTTCTCGTAATATTTTTTTAATTATTTTTGTTGATTCAACAATTTATTATTTATATCGCATATCTATCATAAGTTCATCGCAAGCATCACATTTATTCAAAATATGTTTTGAATCTTAAGTTTAATACTTCAATCAAGATTATTAAATTAAAACAAATTCAATTTGCTTATTATATAAAATCGTTCTTTCGATCAATTTTATAATATTCCTTAAAAGAAAATAAATTCTTGTTTTGAATACATAGATATTGAGTTTTTCCAATTTGTAATAAGATGATAATATAACAAATGAGATTTTCTAATTTGTAATAAGTATATTTTAAGATTATTATGAAGAAAACATTCTTTAAGATAATCCGTTACTTACAGGAAGAAAATAAATCGAGCAATCACTTTCCTTAGCATAAAACAACATGCTGATGCCCCACTTTCTGAGGTGTATCTTCTCATTTATTTTTTACATTTATCGACATTTCTATTAGTTTACATTTCAATACAGATTGTTATAATATTCTTGGGACTTCCACTGATGCTTTCTATATAAAGATTGTCATAATTATTATATATCGTTGGATATATTTTGCAGCTAAAAATTGCTTTTGCAGACGGTGTACGTGGCGCTCAGGGCAGCAAAGTGTCAAAGCGGGCGAAGCCCCTCGATCCCGACGAGGACGACTATTACTACGATGATCCCGTGGATGAGAGGAACAATCCGACGAACGAGGCCCCGGTCGTGCCACCTGGATTTCTGAGCCCGTCCGTGCGGGAGTACCTCGATCTCGGTAAATCGATACCCGGTACGTAAACAAGATCATCTCGTGCAAAGTTGTCTCTTTGTTGAACCGCTTGTCGAGTCGGGGCTGATCCCCAGTTGACTCACCACAGAGTCTTACTCTTTTCATCCCACGCTTCTTGCACCTCTGTGTGCATAACTTCCGGAATTCTTACTCCTCTGCTTCGCTTTATCCATCCTTCTCTTCTTGTTTTCTCCACGTCACACTTTTTCTCCTCGTCTCTCCTTCTTCCGCACCGAGTGTCTTTTAAAATCGAGAGTGGACGCAGCATTGCATATAAAAGCCGATCGATCGAATTATTTTTCGCTCGCGAGATAGATAAAGTTTCCAGAAATGGAAACTTTACGCGGAGATAAGCCGGACTCGCAAGACGCTCGCGAGTAACTCCGTCAGATAATGAAAAATAATGAGGAAATGGAGAAAGCAAGAGATATGACGAAATAGGCAGAAGAGACAAGTCGATTGCGTAGACACTCTCCGTCGAACGTGTCTTCCGTATTCTCGAGCAGAAAATATTTCACGCTCGACGGTGCCAGACTGTGAGAAATGTCAGGAACGCAGGAATTATGCGTGGAATTGACCCTTTACTTTAAAGTACCGTCTGTGAGCGTTTCCTCTTATTCATAAGAATAGAGAACGCTGCCCGAATCCGCGAGAAATACGTAACTGTACATAACAGTTGAATAATCTAATACATTTGTGAAATTATCATGTATTTCTGAGCAAAGTTTTGTGCGGAAAGGTATATCTCGGTGGAAGGTTTCATTTATCTTGATCTACTTATACACACAATGCTCACTGAGAGAAATGATTTTGTTATAAGAACAAATCAAGGGAAAACAAATGTGATATTTGTTAAAAAAAGAACGATTGCAAATTAATTCATCAATGTAACAAATAATCAATAGTATCACTAGCAAATAAAAGGCTCATATGTGTAT